TAAATATGCCAATAGTTTGGCTGCCAGACACTTTTTTCCCTAACAATATCATATCTTGACATTAAAAGCATAATTTTAAAATTAACAAGATTTAATGATACTTCATATTTTATCTTTACTTTTTAATTGTGCCTCATCAATTAACTCAAGAAGTTTCTATGTGTTAAATTTCATGATTATGACAGGGGTTTATCATTAATTTTTATTCACAGCACTGAGCATTTCTTAAATTTTATTAGCAAGAAGGATATCTTTGAAATATATTTTTATATCAGTCCCGTTAGAGTCAATGGAACAAAACTAAATTTTTTAAAAGATATTTCTTACATTAATTAAATTAGAATTAGCCAGACTAATTTGTCTTAAACCTTTCACAAAGTATTCAAAAACTTAAATCTCTTTTTTTAACTAAAAAAAACTGAAAAAAATATTTTATTGTTTCAATATAAACAATAGAATTATAAAAAAAACATTTATCTTACCTTATATCTTTACATCCGATGACAAAGAATGAATCAATTTGTTTAATCCTTCAGCATCTGCTTCAGAAATATTTTTTAATGAAACAATCCATACAGCAACATTTGTGTGAATACAAGCGAGAAACGTTGATTCATGCAGGTCATTTATTGGAAAATTTTATACCCCCCCCAAAAAGTGCAATTACTAATAATATCGTACATTTCATTTTCAATCACATCTTCTTCAGATGCTGTTCCAGAAGGGATTTATGAAATTGCAAAACTCAGCAGTTATCTGGCCATCTATGTTCAGTTAGTGGACTATGGCAAGTTTATTTTGACTAAGTAAAGAGCTCAAGTCAAACTAACAAGAAACAGCAAAGAACAACCAATGTCAGCAGTATAATATTTTCTATGAAAGTTTAGTCTATATAATTTGTTACACAAAGAGTAATTAGTTCCTTCAAAAGCTACTTTCAATAACAAATTTTAATGTTAGAAAATATTATGTACACTATTGTGAAAGCTCGTGTCTTTTGAAAATAAATTAATGCTATTAGTTTTTCTTTTTCTTTTTTTTTTTTTAGCAGGCTTGTTTATAACACAAAATTCTTTTAATATTCACTGATGTATTCAAAAATTAAAAGTTAAAAATCATAAGTTTAAAAATAAATTTTTGAATTTTTGATCGAGTAGCTAAATTGGCACCACTTCTATTTGTTCACCTGAGCAAGTATCTCACCCTCATCCCGGCTCTGACTTCTTCTAATAAGGGCATTTTGCCAATTTTACAGAAGTCTGATATTATAGACTTAAAAATAAAGATGTTTCTGAAAGCTGTATCATTTTTAAGCTGCTTTTTCTTCCCATTGAAATGCTTAAAAAGGCAATAATAAATTGGAAAGAGGTCTAATAAGTATGGTGTATGAGAAAGATACACGTTATGTTTTTTATTATCAGGTATTCTTGCCATTTGTTGTCACATTAGCAAAATAAGGGCATCAAGAAAGAGGCCACTATAAAAAGGTGCTTAGGGAAAGGTGGCACCAGAAAAATTTACTATTATTGGTTTTACCATGAAATGTATGGTGGGTGCAGCTAAACCAAGATCGACAGAGAAGGAATCAGGAGAAAAGCTGGCATAAATATATGTGGATGAGACACTGAAATCTTTTAAGTGGTGTTAGGGCCTCTAAAAGTCTTAATCTGGCCCTGCTGCTGACCAGTCTAAATTCTTAATGTACAGTTTCTGATATTCTGATACATTTCATTCAGGTGAGTGCAGTATTTTTTAGTGTTAATCTTTTCCCTGCATGTTAAGAAAGAATACCTGTTGCATACCTCTGGTCACCAATATCTTTTTTGGAGGAAGGTTCAGTTTTATGTTATGTTTTGAAGTTTAATCTGAATCGAGCAAATGATCAGATCAGCAACAAATTCCTGTAATATTCCCTGTTTCATCATATGTAGCAAAAACAGAATATTTATATTCCAGCAGCGTTAAGAAGTGCAGATTTACAAATGATGCATAATGCCTTTTACAGTGAGTTCATATAGCCTCCTCTTAACATACTTTTAACTTTTCTATGTCCTTGCAGATAATGATAAACAGTGTGCTTTTAACTTATTCATTATATTACTTACAGTTTAATGAAAATCAATCTCTATTATCATTCACAGTTTGTTATTATCATTTCTAAAAGAAATGCAACAGATGTCAAACTGGCCAGATATCAAATATTCACATTGATTTTAAACTAGATATTTAGCTGTCTGGTTGCCATATGTGAAATTAATTTCACTAAAAGGCCTTGTAAAAGTATGTTCATATATGAATTTGAATAGAAGTTTTCCCATTGAATAGAAGTCAGTGGAATTTTTTAAAAAGCTGTAAAAGCAAATGGAAAAGTACAGAAAAATCTAAAAAAAGAAGTTTAGGAGAAAGGAATTTAAATTTAAATTGCATATAAGTGATTGCTACAAAATATATCTCATTAATTTTTATCATATAACAAATTTAAATCCAGTAGAACTCATTGAAGACTTTTGGATTATTATTGGTAATATAATTGAATTTTCTAGACTCTTTTAAATTTAAATGTTTGTATTTCAATAATTTAAAAATTGCTTAAAATAATTTTCTCTTCTAATTCAGTTTTGTTTTCAGTTAATTTAAATTCAGTTCTAGAATTATTCTAAGAGAAGAATCCAAGTCACAGATGTGAACACAGATTTCATAGCAAGTACATAAATAATATACATATGTGTAAGATAAAATACTAATTTTAATTTTCAGTAGTTTTTTAACTTTATCTCCTTCATTTGTTATTCATATTTGGTAATTTTCCGTCTCTATACTAAAATAATAATTGCTTATATCAAATCACTGTAAATGTGTCATTTCAAAATTAATCCTTTCTACATGATTCTTATCTGGAAGTAATGACCTGCGGTGCAGCTGGGCGATGCACTAGCCACTTCGCCTCCATCAGTTTTAATTAAATTATTAGAAGTTTATTGAATGTCTGAAAATTTCCAACATTAATCAATTAGATGAAGTATCTCTCAAATTATAATTCTTTTATAACAACTAAGCAATTAATATTAATAAAATGATAATTTTTTATGTTTAAATACGGAAAGTCAGTTTGAGGAAAAATGACATTTTGCAAAGAATTAAGGCATTTCTTCCATGTGCTCTTGTGTAATGTGTCCTACATCAAGCTGGTAGTCTGAAAAATATGAATGTGTGTTTGGGCATGGGCAATATATTTTTCCAGATACTTCTGTATAATGGTACCTGAACTGAATTATAGACAATAATTCATTACTGAAGTAAGATTAGTTGAATAGAATTTCAGTTTTTCCCAATCATGTTAAGACAATCTTTTCTAGGGGTATTATGGGTTCAGTGATCTGAAGATCTCGAGTTTAAATTCAGGCAGAAGAATGATCAATTTTTCTATGCTCACTCCCATATTAATCTTCTACACCTTTAACAGGCTCACCAGCGGCCGAGTGATGAAGTTGTTGAACACTGGTAGTTTGGGCCGAGGTTCAAATCCTGTGAACTGGCTGCATGGGCGTTTTCATGGTTTTCCGCATATGTAATATGTATATGAGCTGGTTTCCCTTAAAAAGTTCTTCACAAAGGCATCCCTCTCTTTAGGCAAATAGCCTTCAAGGCTTTACCATAATCACACAAACCAAACCAAACCAAACCAATCTGCACCTTCAACATGATGTTATGAAGTTTTGTCTCATATTAAAACAAAAAAATAACTTTTACTCTTATTTTTCTGAAAGACACAAGTTTACCATGCATTTTTAATTTACTTATGACTCAGCTTTTGAAGCATAAGATTTGTGTAAGGATTCAATACATTTCTCTTTGCATTATAGTTATCAGCAGTTTTTGCCCATTTATTAAATGAGTGCTTTATTATTACCTGAATACTGTTACTATTATTTTAATATATGTATTTTAACAATATCAGCCTGCTGATTTTTTTTAACCTGGGTAAATTTAAATTTTGATTTTGGACCAATATCTAAAAGGGAATAATTTTTATTTGGTATGCTATTATATTGGTTATTATTTGGGCTATTGTGAGGCATGTTCTTATTATACAGTCACATGTATATTTTATTGAAAAGATTTTTCATTTTTAAGGTAATCTTGGGTTTAGAAAATGTTATGAAAATGCTTTTCTGTTAACAGAGCATCTGTTGTCCAATGCGTGCCTAAGTGCTAAACAAGGTAGCCTATTTACATCATGTTATGAGTAGCTGTGGAATGTACGATGTGGGCTATGCTGAATTTGTGCAATCCTCTGATTTTTTTAACACGAAAACAGATCGATATGTACACTGGGGCGAAAAATATATATATATATATATACTATATATATATATAAAATCTGAATGGTTTCAGATTATATATATATATATATATATAAAATCTGAATGGTTTCAGATTTTAAACGACGTCCAAAGGGACATTTTTTTAACGATTTGTGTGTTACCTTTAATTATTAAATATCATGTTCTTTGCACTTAAACCATAAAATTCAGTTCAACAGCAATGTCACAAAGTAATTTTAAAATGAGCATATCTTTAGAATTTCCGATACACAGTTCCGTGCGCTGGAGATAAAAAGATTCCTTCCCGTAGAGTTTTGCCATTGCTCGCTTTTAAATCATTGAGTTTGTTATTCAAAAATTCATTAAAGTTTTACAAAATATGAAATTGATAGTAAAACAAATTCTAAATTTTTAATTTGGGCTTTCAGATGCCAGTAGGATTATGTCATTCAAAATTGGATGACTCTAGGTACCGTTGTTGTTTTATCACAATGCGAGAAACATACATACATTTATGCAGATTCTTCATTATTTAATTTCTTCAAATAGTAAATTTTGTAATTTTTGGTGAAAAATTTATAGAGAAATTAAAAAATTTATCTTCGCGTATTTTTTTCAGTTTGCGCCAAGAATAATTCACCTGGCGGAATTCTTAATTTATAGTAACATGCTTTCCTTTTTTTTTCATTGATGCACAAGAGGAAAAAAGGTCCATTGATCATTCTTTCAAATAATTTTAACAAAGTGAGTAAACTACATTTTTGTTATTATGACTTATATTAAATTCGCCAAATTTCAAAATTTAAATTCATATATATCTTAGGAAATTTTGAATTAAAAACTCTAATTTTTTTATTTGCTTAAAAATACATCTACTTTAAGATGATGTTAAAAATTTGATAGGTTATAATACAAAAATTTTTTTTGAAAATTTATAAAAAATATTTAAAAATACAAATTTTTAAAATAAGTAATAAAAAATGTGTGAATTATATTTGGTTTAAGCTTAAATTTCGAATTTTGGAAGAAGGAATCAAGTAAGTTTATTAAAAAAGAGATATTAATAAATATGTATCAAATTCAATTAACATTGAGGAGCCAAAATTTTGAGAGCATTGAGCACTTAACATTGAGGAACTAATTTTTAAAAAAGTATTCATGCGATTTTTGCAAAACTTGGCAGTTTGGCAAAATGAGTTGTAGAATCAAAATATGGAAAACCTTGGCATGCCATTTCAGAAAAAGTTCGATTTTGTGTCAAAATACCTATATTAAAACAATGCTATATATAAATCTAAACATATCCTAAGTCGTGCTTTTGAGACATGAAAAATGCAAGTTGAATTTCGTCAATTGACGCAGTAAAACGGGAAATATAAAATTGTTCTTAAAAAAAAAAAAAAAAAAAAAAAAAAAAAAAAAAAACACCCATGAGAAGAACTTGTATCCATGACTGGGAGATACGTTCTTCCCATGTATACAGTGATCTGTTTTCAGTTTAAAAAAACATAATGTGCAAATTTCGCATCATGCACAGCTTCAGCATTGCAAATATTAAATATGTTATATATATATATGTAAGATAAAAAATATGTGAATCAAAATTATAACTTAAACTAACAATAAAACTTAATTCTCCCTCTCTGTCCTAAAAATCGTAATAACTTCTCTCGATTACATAATTTCTAGATCATTCCATTTTGCACGGCCTGTGCAGCACTGATGATTAATAATTGGAAACTGAAACTTTTTAACTCAAACCAAAACCTTTCTTTTCGTGTGCTTCCATATAGGATAACTATGCACTTCAGCTTCTCTGTCTACTTTGCTTGGACGTAATTTCGCTATTGCAGTAATATCAAAAATGTAAATGTTCTTGAATAGGCACAGCTAGAGTGCCAAGCGAATTGTGGCCACAAATATCAATTGCAAATGAAAATGGAGTTAAAACTGCCTGGACTGCCAAGGTTTTTAGATATTAAGAATTCAACCTATTAGCTTACGATGCAATCAGAATGCTTCCTTTTCAATATGGATCTGTGTATGCATCAACACTGCTCTGTTATTTCATTGCTATTGTGTCATATATATATCTTATGCATTGGTCATCAAAATTAAAGAATAATGACAGAAATAAAACATAATTGAATGAAAAAAAATTATCAATGGAAATTTTTACAAAAGCATTAGATAACACAAATTACAATGATTATCAGTTGATTATTCACAAAATATTGCAATTAAAACCAGATTTATGGAAATTGTAAAATGATGGAAAAACCTCTAGTGAGAAAATGATGGCTCACTTCTAGTGAGAAAAAGTTTTTCTTTAATACGGTGTGTAGTCTCTACGGACAGATATGCATACCTCACATCTTGATTTCACATAATTTAGCAAAGTATTGACAAAGTTTTATGGAATTGCATGCGCTGTTCTAAAAGCGCACTTTTTAGCTCCTGGAACGTCCAGGGAGGCATTTGGCGCTCTAAAGCATCTCATCTCACACAATGTCAGTTGCTTTCGAGTTGAATGAGTAAGGTGGCCAGTCCATTCAAGTGATATCTTCTGTTTCCACGTATTCTGACACCACATATGCTTGATGAGGCGGAATATTGCCATCCATTAGCTAAAACTCAACAACTTACGGCCATCAACACTCCTAAACAGTCTAACTTGGAATTCCATTACTAGTCCACATATCTCCGAGTGGCTAGAGAACTCCTTGAAAGATACGCAGCTCAGTGTGGGCATTTGTCATGATTCCTCCCCAAACATATTAAATCACTATCTTTGGGAACGGGATATTTCACAGACAAGGGAAGGCAAATTGCATGTTCCTTCCTCTCTCCAGATCAAAACATGTCTAGAATCACTGTTCAGACTATATCTGGACTCATCAGTTGTCCCAGTCGTCTTGGCTCCATTGAACATGACAATGTCACCAGTTTAAATGAGCCGCTCTGGAAGCTGGAGTGAGGATGACACTAACCATTGGTTTTCTCGCATGCAGTCCAACTTCGTTAAACCTTTATGCAGCAGTAGAATGGCTAATTTGAGTTCCTGTGGCAGCCTGAAAATCTAAAACCATATCTTATCTCTTGTAGTGGCTTTGCTGTTTCTTCGAGCTGACAACGACAGAAAACAGTCTTCTGATGCAGTTATTGCTTTTGGCTGCCCTTGTACAAGCAACCAATTGATCTAGTGCTTAAAAAGCGGCTGTCTATCAACTGATCTAGGGCTTAAAAAGCAGCTGCAAGCTCTTGAAGTGGTCCTTTGAGGGATATTCAAATCTTGGGTGACGTCCATTTGTGTTTGACCTCCCTTGATTCTTCCAATTATTCACCACTTTTAACCTTCACTTAAATGAATGCCTTTGAGCCATAACTACTAAATACTGATCATTCTCAGAAACTACATTCACTTTAAATAACACTAACATCTGAAATTCCAACATGCGTCAATTAATCACCTAATAATAACATAATTAATCACCTAATATGCATAATTCCGGTGCTAACATAGGTGCAGAAGTGTAATTTTGTATTAAATAGTATTTAATTAACATAAATAATTACAGCATTGGACACTAGTAACAACGTTAACTTAGTGAGAATATTTTTTCTCATTACCCTTTAATTTTGATGACCAGTATATTATATGATATACACTGGTTATCATTAATTAAGGAAACATCACAAATATAGCGATAACTCCCTCAAAAATAAGCCAAACCATGTAAAATTTGAATATGTTGCCAAGTAAGAGTAGCTGAGTAAAACTGCGATATGCAAATTAGTGGCACTGCTTTCGGAATACATCATCTGCGAGGAGCATAAAAGTCCATCTTTGAGAGCAAGCCCACATATTTCACTGTGACAGTGACATCAGAAATCTGAGATAGCCAATTCGTAACAATGACCTCCAGGCATCATTTGCTGCAGAACTGCGATGGAAAGCCATTGGGAGACTAGAGGCAGGACAAAGTCAAACAGAAGGGGCCAGATGGCTAAATGTGAGTCCTTCTGTGGTTCATAGACTTTGTAGGCAATTTCAAACCACAGATTCGGCATCTAGGAGGTTCACCCAAGGACGGCCAACTGCTACGACGAGCGCCGATGATGATATTTGACATTATGTGCACACAGAAATAGAACCACTACTCCGACTTTTCTTAGATCCTCCCTTGCTGCAGCCACTGGAAGGTTCGTATCAACGTCAACTGTGCGTAGAAGGCTTCACGAAGGCGGTCTGTATGGGAGGCTACCAGCCATTTGTGTGCTGCTCACGTCACGCCATAGGAGGAACCGTTTTCAGTGGGCACAACAACATGTCCACTGGATGCCTGATCAATGGAGGGCAGTTCTGTTTACGGATGAGTCCAGGTTTAGTCTAGAAAGTGATTAATTATTTGATATGGAGAGAACCTAGAACTCGTTATCATCCGTCAAACATCCGTGAAAGATATGCATACGGAAGGGGCAGTGTCTGTATTTGGTGTGGCATCTCTTTGGGTGGACGCACAGACCTCCATGTCTTTCCAAGGGGAACTGTGAATGTTCAGATTTATAGAGATGACATCCTTGATGTTTATGTGCGCCGATATGCCGGGGCAATAGGTGATGCTTTCTTGTTACAGGACGACAACGTAAGACCACACAGGGCTTGCATCGTAGATGATTATCTTCAACAGGAAATAAATATGCGCAGGGAATGGCCAGCCCGATCCCCGGAATTGAATCTTATCGAGCACGTTTGGGATGCTTTAGGGAGATGTCTAGCTGCTCTTAATCCGCCCTCTCTCAGACCCTTGTTGCGCTTGCAACTGCTTTGCAAGAGCAATGGCTCTCGCTTCCTATGGAACTGATAGACCACATAATTGAAAGCATCACACTTCGCTGTATGTGCTGTATTGCTTCTAGAGGCAATCATATTCTATATTAAAGGTACTTTTCTACAGCAAACTAACACCTTCGATTTGTTCATTTTATACATGTACTAATTTCTATACTACCATACTTTGTATGGTAATTTATTTTTATGTTATTTTATACTTTACTATGTGTTGTATATTCTGGGTAAGTTTCATTAAATTCTACATGTAACTTTTTTAGTAATCGTGATTTTTGTGATTTTTCCTTAATTCATGATAACCATGGTATTACGTTGTTACTACTTTTTATAAAGCCTTAGATGTCATTAGACTTGCCACCATAATTAGATTTCATGTCAATGATTATGTTTGGCAAATTGTTAACAGAAAAGTACCAAATACTTATGTTTTAGAACAAGGATGTCAAACTCATAAACTCATAGGTACACTTGGGCCAAACAAACAAGGTTTAACTTTAGGCGGGGCGAAAAAAAAAAAAATTCATAGAAACGTAGATTTATTTCGAATAATACAATAATAAACATATATATATATTTATATAGAAAAGAACAAGAAAAATTTAATGTTTACATCCTGATACTTGACATCTCTTCTCTGCTATTATCTTTCCTATTTCGGGAGAAATTTTGTTTGCAGTGATAACTTTCAACGCTGACCCAAGGTGAGCATCATTAATACGGTTTCTAATAGGAGACTTATTACCTTTCATGACTGAAAATAACTGCTCACACCGATAAGTGCTACCAAACATGGAAATAATTTCATATGCGAATTTTCGAGTATTTTCAAACCTGGCTGGTAAATATTTGTAAAATTCAAGCACGCCCACTTCAATGAATTTTGCTTTCAAATTTGAGTTGCATTGAATCTCGATCACCTCCATTTGCATATGGCTGGGTACTGAGTCAATACTTATTGAGAAAATCGAAGAAAAGAAAAAAAAAAATTGTCTTCGAGGGAACTAAAATCATTAAACCTCGTTTCAAATTCAGTTGTTAAATTTGCAATTTTTTCTGCGTATTTTTGATACGAACAAGAATCATCTAAACTTCATTTGTTCATGCTGCACGTCGGGAAGTGCGTCAAATCTTCATTTTTAAGTTGTTTTTCCCAAAGAACTAGTTGACATTTGAATGCTTTAATTTAATGCAAACATGTTCGTACAATATGATCTTTTCCTTGTAACGATAAATTTAAATCAGTTATGTGTTTGGTTATATCAACGAAAAAAGATAAATCTTGTATCCATATTGGATCGTAAAACAAACTTACATCTTGATTTTTCGTTTTTAAAAACTGACATATTTCTTCTTTCAAATCCCAGAATTGTTTGAGAATCTTGGAGCAAGATAACCAACGTACCTCAGTATAGTAGGACAAACCCAAATATTCACTATCTAACTCACTTAAGAAAGCAGTGAATTGACGCTGATTTAAACCTCGAGATCTTATAAAATTTATAACTTTTTTTATATATGACAAAACATTCTCCATATTTATTACTTTCATGCATAGAACTTCTTGATGTGTAATACAATGCATATGATGAATGTTTGAACCGTGAATTTCACTAAGTTTTTTCCTTGGTAATGCTACGAAGCCATTGTTTTTCCCGGTCATTGATGGAGCGCCATCTGTAGCTACAGAATTTAGTTTTGCCAAAGGTAGATTGTATTTCTGCAGAAGTCCAAAAACACAAGTAAATATATCTTCTCCTGTGGTACTACCAGGCATCGGTATTAGTTCCAGTAATTCCTCAAAAATGTTAAAATTCTTGTGAAATTCATGAAGAAACACTGCTAATTGAGCTTTGCCACTAATGTCCGTGCTCTCGTCACAGGCAATGGAGAAACTTTCGAAACTTGATGATTTTGCTTTGATCTGATCACTTAAGTTCGCGGCTAAATCAGTAACTCTTTCCGCAACTTTTCGAGACAATGAAATTGATTGAAAAGCCTTCACATTTCCAGGACAAACAATTTCTCCAGCTTTCATTAGGCATTCCTTGATGAAATCACCGTCAGTAAAAGGCTTCGAATGTTTAGCTATCAACTCGGACAAGACGTAGCTTGCATGTACCGCCGCTTCACTTTCTTGCAATACTTTACTAAACATGGACTGTTGCTTTTTCACTCCTAACTTGAGGTCTTTCAACTTTTCTTCTCTCATTAATCCTTCGTAATTGTTATATTTCGATTTGTGTTGTTCGTAATGACGTTTAATATTATATAACTTTGGTACATTAATACTATTATTACATATCAAGCAGATTATTTTATCTTTTATTTTTACAGCAAAATTATTCTAATTCCCATTTTACTTGGAATATTCTAGGTTCGTCAGCGATTTTTCGTTTAATTTTACTACCACTTGGTTTTGATATAGACATACTGAATACAAAGTGCTGGAATAAACACGGTTAATGTTAAAAAGTTAACAAAAATTTATTCTTTCCACAAGAGATAAATCAAAATGCTGAAATATTTCTTCAAAAATATTCTAACAATATCACAAAATGTCAAACGTTTAGCAAAAATCAATTCAAAACAGAGAAACTAATTCTATCTCACAGCGAAATCAATCACAGCATTAAGTAAACAAACAGTTCGCTAAAACTACAGCTACTACTGAGATGAGTTGTTTGTTCTCGGCTTTTATAAGCTTTATAATTAATTTCTCAAATATACTGGAAACATCTATAAATATCTGGATTTTTGTGGATGGCAACAGCAATTACGAGATATTTATTTATTAGGTATTAAATGCACGCGCTGTTCTATTTTTAACCTTCCAACGCAGCTGTCTTTTCAAAAATCCTCTGAGTTGCTAAGGGAACATGAAGCAAATCTAATTACAATTCTAAATAAAAAAAAACTAACTAAATAAATAACTATGAAATCCGTAACAATATGAATTAAGTAATAATTAATAATAAAGCAAAGTGCATGCACATGCATGCACCAATATATCGTACAAAACTTGCGTACAAGTTCTGAGTGCACGTGTCCCCCAAAAGCCGAAGGTAGCTGAACGCAAGCTACTCACATGCATTTGTAATTTAAGTAGTGTGTGTGTCAGCTCGCTGTGAGTAATCTAACAACACTGAATAAATTATCGTTAATTACTTAGCAGTAAACATTTCATTTTTTTCTTCGTCGATATGTTATTTTATTATTATATTTTGTTATTTGCCGATATATTGGCCGGGCCGCAAAAATATTTGTTGTGGGCCGCGAGTTTGACATCCTTGTTTTAGAATATTGAATATTGTCTTATTCTTTGTTGCAGATTTATAAAGAACATATACATGCTCGTCTCATTGCTCTCCCCAGTTTACCTGAACTGTATAAAACAACTCTTCCAAATTGCAATGATGTTGGACAATTTATGTGCATAAATGGTATGTTTTTCTTATGCATTAAGATTTTATCTTTTATATTTTAAGACGTGTGCTACTACTTTTTATGGGGTTTGAATAGTTCTTGAAAGTTCTTTGGTTTTTCTTTAAACCTAACCTTTATTTAGGTCTTTCTTTGTGTTTTAAAAAAAAATTGTAATCCTTAAAAATTCTTAATTTTGGCCCAGATATGCAAAAGGTACTTAATTTTGCTCAAGTGTCATTTCTTTGTTTATGACTGCCATTTTGAGTAGGAATTAATATTATAATGAGTAAGACTGAGTAGGAATTACCGTAATTTCCGGAAGAAACACCGCGGCGTTTACGTTGTTTAAAACTTAAATTTTCAGCGGGTGCAGCGTTTCTACCCATGTGGCGCTTAGGTACTAAAAAAAAATATTTACTTTGATGTCATTGTGCATAGTCTGAATGACCTTGCTATTGTACATAGTTTGGATGACCTTGCTTTTGTACATAGATTGGTGCTGTTCCCACACAAAAAACTACTCAGTTGCTTTCTGCTAACTTTATTTTGTTTACATTCTTTCCCTTGAACGGACTTACGTGCCTTATTCACACTAAATGGGATCTCAGAACAATAACATTCTTCCTTCTTTCAAATCAGCATTCTCATCAGTTTGAATAGTCTCTCTTCTCTGCTGTTCGATGAATCTTCCAGGACCCATCCTCTTCCCACCCCTGCCTTTTCTGCAATTGGAAATCTACTGCAATTTCTTTCAAAGGCGGACACGACTCCCTGCCATTCGCAATAACGAACTCTGACGTATTTCCCCTTCAGCATGAATGGATTTTTCTTGGCATTCTGCCAAATACAGATTCCATTATAGTAATAATTCGAGTTTTTGGAGTACAAGTACTTGTTGGAATAGTTTTCAAGTAAGAAGGGAGCGGAAAAAATTTTTGAAAATGTCTCTAAATGGCACAGAAGCTATACATTTCTTACCTTTAATTTATTTTTGAGTTATGGTTTCATTTCATGCATTTTTCTTAACTGGTATGTCATATATCAGGACTTAGGTTGAGTTTTTGCATCTATACGGCCCACGAAGATGTCACGCGCAATTTAATCTATTGCGGCGTTTCTGTGTAATTTTAATTTTTTTCCCGCCATTTTTCTCGAGTGCGGCGTTTACGCAGATGCGGCCTTTCTTCCGGAAATTACGGTAATAAAGAATTTAAATATTGCTTAGATTGAAACAGAATTATCTCAAATTAGCATTGTTAATAAGAAGAAACAGTATATCATTTCAAGATGCCTGATTGGTTGATCATCCTTCCTTTTGCAACAGGTGTAATCATCAAGAATGTTCTTTGTCTCCATTGGGGGGGGGGAGAGCTTCTTTGATTCTAACCTACATTTTAGAGACATGGCTATGATGAAACCTTTGGCTCTGTGTATCTGATTTACCGTAATCTTAGAGCTTGGGAAAAATTTTTGCTATCACTTTGGTCCATTCTGAATCACATCAAAAACAAGTTTTACTATTTTTCAATAAATTCTTTTTTTCTTTTTTTTTTTTCTATTCTTTTTTTAATGTGTCTTTAAATTTGACAGTTTATTAACATTTTGTTGATTTTAAATTCAATTTGTCTACAAAATTTTCAATTTGAAAATTTTCAATTTGAAAATTACAAATTTTATGAGTTTTTTTTACAAATATAATATACAGTATAATGTACGTAGCGTATTCGGAAACTAAGTACCGTTTCATTCTAGCGCCGTCACAGCACTGTGGTAGGCATCCCGTGCATGCGCACTAGTCTTTCTTGTTCACTGACTTCCAATTGTCGCCATTTTGGTTGCTCTATGTTGTGTGTTTTCAGTTTGCTGTGCACATTCAAAATGTTTAAGACAATTAGTTATCCCGCTGACTGTGAGATTTGTGTGGTGATTAAACTTTTGAACGCAAGGAATGTTAAACTGGCCGAAATTTATCGTCGAGTGACAGAAGTTTACGGTGAATACGCGATAAGTGATGGAATTGTGAGAAAGTGGGAATGTTTAATGCAGGTCGAACAAATGTCCACGCCGAGCCTCGGAGTGGTCGGCCTTCTGTTGTCACCGATGATTTGGTAAGGAAAGTTGATGAAGCAATTCATGAGAACAGACGCTTTCAGAGACGTTTCCGCAAATTTCACGTACTGTTTTGTTCGAAATTGTGTCTGACCGCTTGAATTATCGCAAACTGTGTTCCCGATGGGTTCCAAAAATGCTCACTGATTTTCACAAAACAAAGTGACTTTGTAGTACCCTGACATTTCTCACGCGGTACAGTGATGAGGGAGAAAATTTTTAAACCAAATTGTGAAACTTGGGTGTGTCATTTCACACCAGAATCGAAACAACAATCGATGGAGTGGAGACACATTCATTCTCCGAAAAAACAAAAGTTCAAAGTGACAATGTCATCACAAAAAATCATGTGCACTGTCTTCTGGGATAGGAAAGGCGTTTTGCTTAGTGAATTTCTTTGCAGAGGTGAAACCATTAATGCGGCACGATATTGTGAGACTTTAACAAAACTAAGGCGTGCCATTCAAAACAAACGAAGAGGAATGCTCAGTAAAGAAATTGTGTTGCTCCATGACAATGCTCGGCCCCATACTGCTGGTGTCATTCAATCGTTAATTCAACAGTTTCATTGGGAGCAGTTTGATCACCCACCGTACAGCCCCGACTTGGCGCCGTCCGACTATCACTTGTTCCTGCACATGAAGCGCGAGCTTGGTGGCAAGCGCTTTGGTTCTGACGATGACACGAAAAATGCTGTGGAGTCGTGGTTATCGAAACTGGCAGGAAGTTTCTTTGACGATGGTATACAAAAACTGGTCACCCGCTATGACAAGTGTTTGATCATGGCGGGAGGAAACTATGTTGAAAAAATAGTTTAAGACATGTATTTTCATGTAAAAATAAAATTGGATTCGAAAAATTGTTTTACTTTTTTTCTTTTTTTCTTTTTTTTTTTTTTTTTTTCCAAAACGGTACTTAGTTTTCGAATATGCCTCGTATAATTTTTATAACAGCATTTTTGAGATATCATTAAAGTAACAATAATATATTAAAATTATAGATTGAAAAAACAGTTTTATTTTACCCCATCTGGATTTACTTTTTTTGGGGGAATTTATGAATGTTTTAATTCTGAAAAGTAAACAAAGTAATAAATTTAGTTTAAATATCATGCTAAATAACAATAAAAAAAAACTCCAACATTAAGAATCAGCGTAAATTTTTTAAAAATTGTTTCGATAGTTTTTTAACTACCTTCATCAGCTGCTAAGTGCAAATGAACCAAATAAAAAGGGTGAAGAAAGATCTATCCTTATCTTATCTATCTTCACCCTTTATTTAGTTCATTTGCACTGAGCAGCTGAAGAAGGTAGTTAAAAAACTATTGAAACTAGTACTGCAAATATTTTTTTTTTTTTTTTTAATTTACACTTATTCTTAATGTTGGACTTTGTTTTTGAAGGTAATAAAGAAAGCTTATAAAGCACAGTTTCCAAATCTTTTTTTAGCAAAAGCAAAAAAACGCTACTTACTTATTAACATAACCAACATAGCAGAAGTCATCAGAATTTCAAAATACACCATGTACATAACAGTGCATTTACTTTGGCATTTATGCACCCCTCTGGCAACCATGCACATAACAATTTTTCATTTTTAACTGAGAATGTTGTCATTTTCATGTGTTCTGTTTGTTGTATTTTAAGTTTCAATGATTTTTATTAATAAATTATAAAATTTTTGTCTTTAAATTTAATTTTAATGTATGCATTTATGATATTCGTCTTCAGTGAAAGTTTTTTTTTTTTTTTTTTTTTTTTTTTCAGCAGTACTGCATTTTGCCTTTAAATCGTTAAAGGGAATATTAGTTTGAATATATTCTTGCAGCAATCACCATAAAATTTCTACCAAGAGAAAAATAAAAATCTGCTTGTAAATATATTTATTGATGATTTTCGAGATAAATGTGTAATTAAAATTTAAAATGTATTTTCGAGATAAATGTGTAATTAAAATGTAAAAAATATGTATGCATGTAATAAATACTTTTTTACAATTATCGGTCAGCATTCTTCTGGAAAAATCAAAAGGTATGTCAAGGTGGTTACATTATGACATATGTAAATACAGTCAAAAGTCGCTAATTCGGACACCCATAATCCGTACTTCAAAGCTAAAAACTTTCTGCGCATGCGCAGCATTCACACATACGCATAGGCGTTTACGCGTGCGCATAAGACCTTTACGACTGTGCATATGCATGTGCGCAAGCGCAGAATACGTTTTCGCGTGCGCGTTTAATGTATAACAAACAGTATAAGCTAAAATTATCTATTTCAGTTAATGTTGATGATTGCGTTGTTCCTTAATCTTCGAATTAGATCCGGCTTATTATTATTTTTTGCAGACTGTAAGAGCAATTTTATAAAAGTAAACTTGAACTTTCAATTATGTCAAATAGAATTTCCGATGCTGGAGCTCCCAAAGGATCTACAAAACAAAAGTATGTTTCGATGTCCATCAAACAAAAAGTGGAATTGCTGCAAAAAATGGATAAAGATATGAAGAAGGTGACAGAGAGATTAGTGAAAACGAAAAAATTTCGATTGACAAGTTAGTCGGTATTCTCGGCACAGCAATTACGGGACTTGAACAGCAAGAACAAAATATGAAAACAAATTTCTAACTTTAATTTTCCCATAGTCCCTTTAATTTTATTACTTCCTTTTCTTGTCCTAAAATTAGTATCTATTCATAATCAATCTAAAATGCATAATTTCAAAATTAATCCACATCTTGCCATTTTGCATAACATGTAGCAATTGCAGATATCTTTTATTCAGTCAGATTAAAGAAACTTTTGACTGTATATTTCATGCTATTTTTTGAATGCATACATTCCCTTTTTATCTTGCTTTGCTAAATTTGCTATCGTCCATTATCTGAAAATATAAGCTTCCAAAAATTGTAGGGTGCTTATTGATGTGTGAGTAAGTATATGTGTATCAAGAATTAATTATCCAGAAATAACTTATGTCTTGTCTTTGCCCCGTCTGTCCCTAAGTGTCATTTTTGTATCCGTGTAAATTTTAGGAAAGCCTTTTCCAAGGTGTTACAAGGTCACCATCTCCAATCCATCATAGCTACTGCCTAATTACAATTATATTACACATATAGTATACAGTACAAAGTCTGTAATCTGGATATCCATTATCCGGAATGACCTATAATCCGGACCTCAAAGCCACAAACTTTTTTTTTTTTTTTTTTTTGTATACTTTACGTGTGCACGTAATGCGTTTAATGTATAACGGATGGTATAAGCTAGGCTAAAATTATCTTTACTGATTCTAAGGCATTTCAGTTAAGGTTGCAGATTGCACTGTTCCTTAATCTTCTAATTGGATCTGGCTTATTATTTTTTGCAGACTGTTAGAACAATTTTATAAAAATTAAGCTTGAACATTCGATTATGTCAAAAAGAGTTTCCAATTCTGCAGCTGCCAAAGGATCTACAAAGCAAAAACATGTTTTGATGTCCATCAAACAAAAAGTGGAATTGCTGCAAAAAATGAATAAAGGCATATTTGTCTCAAAATTATACGAGGAGTATGAGATTGGAAAGCTGTATATGACATAAGCAAAAAGAAAAAGGAACTTTTTGAATTTTTTGTGGATTCCGACACCCCGTTTGCAATGAATAACAGAAAAAGGATTCGTTATAATAAAAGTGACGATCATGACAAAGTGATGATTGAATGGGTCAGACAGCATGACAGCGAGGGAGTGCCATTGACAGGTCCAAATGGTTCAAGCCAAAATATTTCATGAAGAAATGAACTTAAACACTAAGTGCACATATTCGACAGGTTGGTTAACCAAATTTAAAAATCGCCATGGTATAAGACAATTAAAAATTTCAGGTGAAAAAGCTTCAGCGGATACTGAAGCTGCTGAAAAATTTGCAGATGAATTCAATGAACTCATTACTAGTGAACAATTACCTCCAGAACAAATTTACAACGCTGATGAAACTGGTTTTTTGTGGCAATATGTACCACGAAATACCTTGGCAACCTCTACAGAAAAGGCTCCAAATGGTGTCAAAGATTCCAAAGCGAGACTAACAATTTTAGTGTGTGCAAATGCCGTAGAAACGCACAAGTGCAAACTTTTCATAATCGGAAAACATGAATGACCTCGAGCATTTATTTTCGCGAGATTTTCCCCGTTATATATCGCACAAATAAAACAGCATGGATGACACAAGCGTTGATGAATGATTGGTTTGAAAATCATTTTATATCCAAGGCTTGGCGATCATTAGAAATTCAGTTGGTTTATCTGATGACATCAAAAATAGTCCTGATTGTTGGGACAACTGTTTCGGCTGCATACTTCACTTAAAGTTTTAGTGAAAGATAATGTATCCGTCATCTTCTCTTCCCTTCAAATTTTACATCTATCATTTAGCCTATGGATATGGGAATAATGCACGCGCTGAAATGCAAATATAAAGTACCATTTTAAAAATCTATGTTGAATTTCTTGAACAATGGCAAGACTATTTAAGACTTTTTTAGTATAAAATCTGCTGTGTGGAGCATTGCAAGATCGTGGGAGGATGTGTCCCCAGATACGTTAAAAAATGCTTGGCATAATTTATAGCCAGCTACCATATTTCATGGTGAGGACGATGAAGATGATACCCGCTGTAAATTTGAAGGTTTTCGGATATTCGCAAAACTAAAGGTGAACTTTTCCAGTTATTGGATTTTGTAAAGAAATGTGGAGAAGCAATAATAAATGAAGATGATATAACAGAAGTTTTTCATTGCGACGACAATGCCCCAATCATCAATCAATTAACGTATGGCGAAATCGGTAGTATGGTTCTAGATCCAGAAAATATTGCTTTCGATAGTGAAGAAAGTGAAAGAGAGGTTATTGAAAAAGAAACAATTTCGATTGACAAGTTAGTCAGTATTCTTGACACAGCAATTACAGGACTTAAACAGTGGAACTTTGTAACTTAACAAGAAATTATGTCTGTTTATAGAATTAAAGAGAAAGTATTAGCGCAAAAAATGAAGCAACTTAAACAACTTACATTGAAAGAAATGTTTAAATTCAAGAAATGTTAAATGTAAACAAATAAATATTAAGCTTTTTTTTTTTTTTTTTTTTTTTTTTGTAAATTTTGATACCCTTTAGATCATAATTGCTCTTTATTTCATAAATTACGGTTTCATATTTTTAATTCTATAATTTCTGCATGCGATATTATTAGATTTAAATTGATGATCTATAATCCGGAATCGCTGAGGTCCCAACGAGTCCGGATTACGGACTTTGTACTGTATATCAGTGCACCATGTATCATTTCAGAATTTTTTTGAGTTATTCTCAATATTGATATTGCTAAAGAAATAAAATTAGCATTTTGTTCTATATATTCTAAATGCACGCAGTTTTTTAAAACAACAGAATTATTTAAGTAAATCTGAAATTTCAAAGATAAAGAGGAAATATACTGAGGAAGCTAGAGTACATAAAGCCAAAGAAAAATTCTTTAAAAGACTATTGCTGAAAATATTTAAAAAATTAAAAAAAATATAGTAGCAACGTTGATTTGTTTGCAAGTGAACTTAAAGATAGAAATGCATTAAAAATAGCTAAAATATCTGGAAAAAATTTAAAATCGAGGGGATGCATAAGTATTTTTTTGTGTTGTGTATTTTTTGAATGGTTTACTGTTTATTAACCATTATGTCATTATTTTACATGTACTAATTTCATCGATTCTCACAAGGATGCAAGCTAGTTAATGTATATAAGAAAATAGTTCTCAAAGGAGAGAGCTTTTGGTAGCACTGCTGATCATGCCACTATTATTTTCATCCAGCTTCTGAAGTGACTTAATTGGCTTTAGCCTTTGTTAGCCATGTTTGCTGATGTGAGTCAAGGGCCTGAGCCTCAACCGATCTTGTGAATTTTCACATTTAAAAATAACATTAGATTTTAACATATGTTCATTTAATCTGCAAGCTGTGGAGCCTTCTTTTAGTACACAACTTATCACACTTAATTGCACTGAATAGCTAGTAAAAAAGTTTGTTTGAATTTTTCTTCTGACTGGGTGATACTTCAGTGAAGGGTAAGAAGAGTGATAAGTTTGGTTGTCTTTATGAAGCCAGAATTCAATATCTTAGATAATTAGTTTCAATGCAGCTTTTAATGTATAATTGCTATAACGCTTTTTTGAAACCATTGTAATAAATTGTACATCTGTTATCTGAAACTGCAGTTTTTCCTTAGACTGTGATTTTAATGATGCTTTTGTGATGAATATTTTTGAAAAATAAGTGAATTTTTTATAGTAATCATATAAATTGTCTTTAAAATAAATGTACTATTATAAGTGTAAAATATGAATGTTTTAAGAAATTTCACTAATTTAATTGTTAATTATTTGATAATATTCAGGAAGTTGATTTTATTAATCAGCTTTTGGTAATTAGTAAAATCAACTTACTGAATGAAAATTGATTTTATTTTACAGTTATATAAAATGTTAGATTATGTTTAAAAACAATGTATCATAAATATGCTTGCTTTATTCTCAAATTAGTATTACAAGAGTGAAATCGATTGATTGGAAAATTTTTAAAATTTATTTTATTTCCATTTGCTGATAGGTCCTTAATTTTTTTCACAGACGGACTTTAAAAGCATTTAATTTTCATGAATAGAAATATGTGTGAGTTCTGTGTCTACATTAACATTCTTGGTTATTTTTTAAAGGAACTGTTATACGGGCATCTGCTCCAAAAATGATTGAATACCGGAAGTCCTGGAGATGTACCAAATGTAAACATCAATTTGTCATTGATGCTTGTGTGGAAAAAGGTTACATTTGTGAGAAACCATTAGCATGTCCAAATCCTGAATGGTGTAATGGAAAAAATTTCATATGTATGAATACAGGTAAATTTTGCATTTAGCTTTTGCTTTTATTTTTTTCATATGTATTAAACAAATGTATATTTTGAAGGATTAAAAAAGATATTTTATTCATCTGATCTACATATATAATTCATTCAAATCTAAAAGTGTTTTCTTTCATTGGTATTTTTTTATTAATTTACATGACATTTTAATTAAATTAGTAATTGCAGTTTTACCTTCATGCATTCATTTAGAATTAATTCTAAATTAAAATCACTTAAAGAATGATGCTATGTGTTAAATGAATTTACTATTTATTAAAGTTATTTTTTACTGTACTCTATTAAGTACTTTTGGTTTTATGGTAAAAAAATAGCTTTTGACCATAAAACTATAAAATAGCTAGTTTTGAAATTTGACAATAAGTATATTTAATTGTAGTAAAGAACTTTAGAGAGAATCTTTAAGAGATACCATCATAGGCGAATAAGGGAAATGAGTTTTTATTCATGTTAAATTGGAGAAAATCACACAAATCCTTTTTAGTCAGTTCATTTTATGGTTGGAAGTGGACCCTCGTCATAATATTCCCCTCAGTTCATAGTATATTTTATTTCAGTTTAGCAAATTATCAAAAAGCTTTTAATTTTTTCCCTCCACTTTTGAATGTTTAAAAGAATTTTTTTTATGAAAGACTGTTGTATTTATGTGCAAATTGAAATTTTCCTCATTGCAAAACTGAAGTAGAGGAGCTTTTTTTTTTTTTCTCAATCAACTTTGGATAAATGACTTCTGAACTTGTGAATAATTTGATCATTTGAAATGAATTATAAAAAACTCAATCAGATGAATATTGAGCAAGTCCAATTTAGGGCTAAAATCTCAATTATAGCATTTAAACTTCATATTCTGGTGTCATGAACTGCGACTGAAATTCATAATTCAGTAAAAATAACTGACTTCAAACATTATCAATAACTGAATAAAAAAAATTGAATTTTATAATAAGGTACTATCAAATGCCACTGCTGTAGAGAACTGTGAAAAGTATACTGTCTACAGATGGAATAATCCTACAACTTAATTTTCAGATTCTGTATCTATGAAAATTCATTTTTCAACATTCTGGGTATAACAGGATGAGAATGAAACAAGCAGTGATTCCTATGTAGACAGTGAGGAGAAAGTATATAATAAATATTATATATTTTTAATGCCAGAATACCCTCAACTTCTCCCCCAAAAAGTGATGTTTGATGTAGAAGTTGGACCATTTAATACTTTTGAAAAGACTGCTAAAGAAATTTGGATAATGAATTCTTTGAAACAGTTGCACACTTTAATGACAGGTTTATTTTCTAAATAATAATTTATTGCATAAAATTAATATTTCAAAATTTTTAATATGATATGTGAAATAACTTTAATTTTTACTTTTAATTAAGACTGAATATATAAGGTGGCCCAAGATAAACCGAACCAAAACAAGTGAAGAATGCATGAACATTACAAAAATAAAGTGACATTATAAAAAATAACCGAACTGGACATGGGAAAACTTGACTTAGATCCTGAAAATAAAGAACTGTTGAAATTAATGTATGATTTTTACACCATTTAGTATTCATCTGGGTCATTAGCTACTACAGTAACATTTTAAAATGCAAATAATGGTAAAACATAAATAAGTAAGAAATAAAATATTACAAATTCTGTGTTTTTTATCTTCCAAACACACACAGTTATATTATTTCCTTTTAACACTGGAACTGATCTATCTGCATTTTCAAACTAATATCAGAATTATTTAAATATAAATCAAGTACTACATATCATGAAAAATGTAGCAGATCCAATTAGTAATATTTTCCCACTACTTTTTTAAAAGATTTATTATTATAAACCATTTCCTTCTTTTCTAAGCCTGTAATAATTTTGTTTTGAATGATGGATTTCAAAATATATATGAAAGTAATGAAAATGTAACCAGGTGAAGTTCAGATCAACACTAATGCGTGATCAGCCAGGAATTGTTATTGTGTTGAATTAGAGGCTGCTTGATAATATATCAGAACACTGATATTGCAGATGTTTAGTTAGCAATTCAGATAATCATTCAAAATAATAATCTTCTTCCTCTTTTTATTAAAATTTATTAAATTTTAGGTGTCAGTTATTTAACTCCATACTAAGCCCAGGTATCAAAGGTTTAAATTTCTTTGTGTAATTAATTACCTAAATTAGTCTAGTTATATGATGCTATAAGACATATTTTAATATAATTACTGAATTTAAATTGAGGTTATGCTGTACTGGTTTGAGCTGTGATGCATCAATCAATGATAAAGATCCACTGAAATTATGTTGCTCAAATTTTAGATTGAAATTCTTGATCTTTCTTAGCAAGTCATAATTAATGCAGTTATTGAGCCTAAAATTATATAAATATTATCTGATTATGGGATCAAGGGATAGGCCATAAAATACTGAGAGTTTCAGGTTCAGTTTTTAATGACTTAGCACATTTTGTGGTTAACATGTGTGTAACATTAATACAGGCCAGTTTCATGTAAGTTTACTGTAATTCTTCTACTTACAAGAAGAAAGTTCCCAAATTTTTGCTGTAATTAATGACTCAATCTGTAGTTGATCAGAAGAATTTATTCTAATCTTAAGACATATTTTGCTAATATCACAGGGTTGCCACACTACCTGGAAAACCAGAAAAAGTAAGGGAATTTAAATATTTTAGTCAAAAGGCCAAGGAATTTCATATGGCAATCCCCCAAAAAATCAGTTTTGCACCTAGTGATTGTTGGAAGCGATCACTTTCTTTTCAAATTATGTATCACATAAGCATCATTCAGGCAACTGCCGTAGAGCCAATTTTCGCAACTCCAGTCAGATTGTCTTTTAGAAAGGCAAAGCAAGTTTCCAGTAATCTCGAAAATCGAGAGACTCGCGCATGTGCAGTGTATGTTGAAATAAATAAAATACCTTCCCATTCTCATATAAAACAAAATCGATTTAATTCTAGTATATGGTACACAGTTTTGAGCGACATTATGATGAGTAATAAATCGGTCATTTTGGTCTTGATGACAGTTTTCTAAATCGTACCAAGGCCGTAGCATATACTAGGATTTACCGCAAAGTTTTTTAAACCTTTTTTTTTTTTTTTAATAAATGTATTATTTGTCATTCTGCACTAAAATAAAAAAATAGTAATTGGTCATCTAGGCTCACTATTTAATGTAATTATATTCGCCAAAATATCTTTGATTATTGTAATATCAGTTTTTAAGTAATTTATTTATTTATTTTAATGTTGTTCATATCATTTAATGTGGCTTCTTCCCTCTAAATTTATTTATTATTAGTTAATAGTACTTTCAAATTTCGGGCAATTTTCTCTGGCATAATCCTGAAACGAATTCTAGCAGTATGATGACATACTACTACGAAATTTAATGCACATGTTTTTTGCATATGCATTCTGCTAAATAAATATAAAATACCTGAATTTATTTTAAAATATCATTAAATAGATGTCTTTCAATTGTATAGCTGCAAACTGTTTGCAAAAAAAGACATTTTTTAATCCAGATTGCACAGACTCTAATCTCAATCTTCAGTGGAGAAAACAACTATTATAGTTATAATAGTAACATCTGTAAAGCTCTAGACTGAGAAAGTATGTGACATAGATTTATATATAGCATGTTCCAATATAGGTGTTTTGACACAAAATCGGACTTTTTCTGAAATAACATATCAAGTTTTTTCCATATTTCGATTCTATAACTCAAATTAAGTAAAACTACCAAGTTTTGTAAAAATCAAACAAGTAGTTTTTAAGAAATTAGCTCTCAATTTTAGCTGCTCAATGTTAATTGAGTTTGATATATATTTATTAATGTCCCCTTTTTATTAAACTTATTTGGTTCTTTCTTTCACATTTTGAAATTCAGGTTCATTCCAAAAAAAAAAAAAAAAACCCACCCATTTCTTATGATTTATTTTTAAAATTCGTATTTTTAAATAATTTTTATAAATTAAAAAAAAATTCGAATTATAATCCGTAAAATTTTTACCATCATCTTAAAGTAGATGTATTTTTAAGCAAATGTGCAAAAAATTAGAGTTTTTAATTCAGAATTTCCGAAGATACACGTGAATTTATATATTGGTGCGTTTTGAAATTTGGCATATTTGCTGAAAGCGATAAAACATCAAATGTGGTTTAGACACTTTGCTAAAATTATTTTAAAGTAAGAATGATATAACTTTTTTTCCGCTCTTGCACAATGTAAAAAGGTAGGAAAGAAGTGCCTTTTTTTCCGCTCTGGCATAATGGAAGGGAAAAAAAATTGGTTATCATATATTAAGAAGTGCGACACATGAATTATTCTTGGTGCAAACTGAAAAAAAATTGTGCCAAGATAAATTTTTGAATTTGTCCTTAAATTTCGCACCAAATTTTACAAAATTTAATATCTAGGCATAATTTGAGTTGTAGAATCTAAATATGGGAAAAAAATTGGTATGTTATTTCAGAAAAAGTCCAATTTTGTGTCACAATACCTACAGTGTCTCACAAAAGTGATAGGACACTTGTGCTTTACAAAAGGAAACTGTAGTAAAATAAATTTAAAAAACATGTAAGACTTTTTTGTGGGTGTGTTTCATACTTAAATTTAGTAACAATTATTACATAACATACATTTTCTCAAAATATTAAAATATTAATTTAATAAAAATACATTTGTTTAGAACGGAGCAAAAAATGGCTCACATAAGTGATGGGACACTTACTTTTCCATCAAATATTTATCCAAAAATTTTACTTTTTAAAAGGTTTTAATATTTTGTTGGATTTCCTTTTAGTTTTAAAACATGATTTAATCTTCTTGGATGGATTCGACTAATTTTTTTGTGATTTCTGGAGTGATTTTACCCCATTCTTCTTGAAGCACCGATTTTAATTGTTGTTTTGAAGAAATGGTGTGTTTGCAAGTTCTTGATTCCAATTCTTGCCAAATATTCTGTATGGGATTTAAGTCTGGAGATTGTGGTGGTGTTTTTATTATTTCAGGACAGTTATACTGCAGCCAGAGTCTAACGTTCAAAGCAGTGTGCTTGGGGTCATTGTCCTGGTAGAATTTAAAATCGTTATGAAGGGTTCAATTTTCGTGCTGAAGGTTTCAAATTTTGATTTAAAATGTCAATATACTTGTATTCATTGATCAATAAAATCATAAATATACATAAATAAATGTCAATAAAAACTGTCAATAAAGATTACCAACTCCAGCGGACGACATACACCCCCATACCATAACTCCTCCTCCACTATGTTTTACTGTTGGCACCAAGTTCTGTTTTCGAAATTCTTTCCTCTGGGATTTTCCTGGGTTCCACACCAAGATTCTACCGTCAGAACGAAATATATTAAATTTATTCTCATCAGCAAATATAACTTCATTCCAGTAATCAGAATTCTTATTTATGTTGAATTTTGCGAAAGCCAGTCTGAGTTTTCCATTCTTTTCACTTAAGAAGAATTTTTTCCTGGCTGCTCTACCATGATATCCAGCAGATCGAATTACTCTTCTAATAGTCTCAGGATTAACAATTACTCCATGTAATGCTTGTAAATCAGCAGCAACTTTAGGGGCACTCATTCTTGGATTTTTTTAAATATTTCGAACGATAATTCGCTTTATTCCATTGGATAGCTTTGACAGTCGGCCAGGTCTTCCATTATCCTGAATCATATGATTCTTTTTATATCGTTTAATGATATTGAAAACTGTTGAATGACTCAAGTTCAGCAGTTTCTCTAATAGATTTTCCACGTTCAGTATGCAAATAAATAACTAATTTTCGAATTTCAGGCAAAGTTTCTTTTCTTTTAGCATTCATGGCTGCATAGAGCTAAAAAGCACAAAAATTCCAAAATAAACTGGAGAGAAATACTGCAGACGATTTTATAAATTATTGCCAATTGCTTTTGAGTAAAAATAAAACCCCCCCAAAATATTTTTATTGTAGTATGTAGTAGTATCTAACTTATGTGAGCCATTTTTTGCTCCATGCTAAACAATTATACTTTTATAAAATTAACATTTTAATATTTTGAGAAAATGTATGTTATGTAATAATTGTTACTAAATTTAAGTATGAAACACACCCACAAAAAAATTTTACATGTTTTTCTAATTTATTTTATTACAGTTTCCTTTTGTAAAGCACAAGTGTTCCATCACTTTTGTGAGACACTGTATGTTAGAACAACGCTATATATAAATCTAATATATAGGCTAATTCGCGCTTTTGAGACATGAAAAACGCAATTTGAATTTTATCAATCGGCCCAGTAGAATGGAGATATAGAACTGCCCCATTTAATTTTTTTTTTTTTTTTTTTTTTTTTTTTTTTTTTTCCCAGTGTACAATTAATGTGTATTATGATGAAATCTCAGTGTAGAGACTATTCTGTTATGAGAGCTAGTGCAGAAAGTCTTCAGCTGATAAGAATATTTTAAGTGCCCTTTTGTTATAGCAGCCATTCATTATAATATACTTTTTATAGAACTTGGGACTTGTTTTAATGAGTCTTGACTGTATTAATCTAATTTCAAACATTATGCAATTATATTTACTGATTAAAGTACTTTGTATTTAGATATAAGCACAAAATTTTGTAAGGATTACCAAGAAATAAAAGTGCAAGAGCAAGTTCAAAATTTGGCGATTGGTTCTGTTCCTAGATCAATATGGGTAATACTTGAGGAAGATCTTGTAGAAACTTGTCATCCTGGTAATGATGTAAATGTAAGGTAAATAATTTTTTTTGTAGTGATTTGCATATCAATATAGTTCTTATTTGATGGAACATTTTAAATGAAAGCATTACCAAATGTAAATTTTGTTGTGACATTTTTGGTTTAGTATGTTCAAACCCAGTTTTTAAAAATTTCTGTTGAAAATTAGAATGAAAAACACTTCAGGTTCTTGCTTTTCCTTTATTTAGTTATTTATTCTCCAAATACTGGCCGTTGTTGATTCGGATTGTGTAATATCACGTGCGGAAGAATTAAGCCGCATGTATTGTACAACAACGTTTGCAAAATTTTGCAAAGATTATTAGTTTTGATATTCAATCTGGGATATGTTTATGAACACTTAAGAGAGTTTGCTGACTAGAATATTTTTCAGTTTTGTTGGGCTGTTTTTATATATTTATAAATATATTTTTACAATGTTTATATTTATGGTGATAACTGAGCTGCAGATCATAATTATTTTTCCCCTTTTTTAATCATGAGTAACACTTGTTTTCCACTCAATGTTAAATTTAGACCTTCATGATATTTTGTAATCTAAATATTGTGATGTTATGTGAAAGATAAAGAAATATTCTTAAAAATTATATTTAATGCACATATCAAAATGTCAAGTGCATTATTTAGCCAAAAAGTCTAAAAAAAGGGGAGGCTATCATCTACCCCCTTTTTTTCTAGTTATTTTTGACTATCCATAATTTTCAGATATCCAGCAATTGGCTATTCTCGAGCAGACCGATTAGTTAAGCTTTTACCGTATAAAGGATGATTGTATCAAGCAATTTCCTGTTTTCTGATTTCAGAAATGTTCCTCTTATTACTTATTTTAAGTTAAATTACTTTGCGATATCTATTAAAGGAAAATTATCATATAATGAAAATTTGGAAAATGTTCAGAATTTTGATTTAAGTTAAATTACCATAATTTCTGGAAGAAACGCTGCGGCATTTACGTGTTTAAAACTTAAATTTTCAGCGGGTGCTGCGTTTCTAACCATGCAGCATTTAGGTGCACTAAAAATAAAATATTTCCTATGATGGTCATTGTACATAGTTTTTATGGCCTTGTCATTGTGCATAGACTGGTGCTGTTCCCACACAAAAGACCACTCAATTGCTTTTTGCGAATGTTATTTTGTTTACATTCTTTCCCTTGAACGGACTTACATGCCTTATTCACCCTAAACGAGATCTCAGAACTTCCTTTCAAATCAACATTCTCATCAGTTTGAATAGTCTCTCTCCTCTGCCATTTGATGAATCTTTCAGGACCCATCCTCTCCCCACCCCTGCCTTTTCTGCATGGAGGTAGGAAAGGAAGGAGGGGCCAAACGGCGCTAGAAGTGAAGCACTGCTTTGAAGCTTGGGTCACCAGATGGGGTGTTCTTTGTTTACATTCAGAAGCTCGCTTGACATGGTTCTGATAGTATTTCGACAGACGACAGTTCCATACAAATCGAAAAAGGGACACTTTCACATGAAAGAAACATTCATAGTGTGATGGATAGCAGCAATTTGTATAGTTTAGTGACTTTACGCAAAAGTCACATCTTGGTTATTTTTCGATAACTAACAACAGCGATTTTGATTATGAATTTGTTTTATAAAATTCTAAGCTGTTGAACTACAAAAATATAGATTTTAAGATAAATGTTATGCTTTAAAGAATGAAAAATACCTTACGGTACATTTAAAATTGTATACGTCTTTAGATACCCTTGGTAGAGTATTCGCTACTTTTATTTTATTTTCCAAATGCCAAAAATGTTAAAAAAAAAAAAAAAAAAAATTTCACATCTATATATTATTGTAACAAGTACCTTTTAAAAATTTTTAGAGGAGAGGCTTTACTGCTGCTCATTTTAAACTCATCGTTTTAATTTTATATATCTTATTTGTAATTAGGCACATAGGTCAGATTAAGTTTTTATTAAATAGAGTAACACATGCAAGGGCTATCTGCCTAAAGAGAGAGATGCCATCGTGGAGGAATTTTGAAGAAAAACTGACGTTTGAGTGGGTATTAAAAATAATACTTACAATTTTGATTCAAATTATATTCATATATATTTTTTATGTAAAACTTTTGGGTGTATGCTAAATTAGTGTAAATTACTTTACACAAAAACTATAGTGAATGCACAGAAATTAAAGATTTGCACATGCCAGAAATAAAAAATAGGAAATATGTATGGGTATTTATGCATGTGCTTGCAAAAAGCATGTATCCGCCTTTGACAAAATACTTAAATATTGATTAAATTATTTATAAATGTATTTGAAATGAAGAATTTATTCACTTATAAACAACTGTGAAAGTACTGTGAAGAAATCTAATTATTAAATGTATCTAATTTATAAATGATTATAAATGTTATCTAAATATATAATAACCTTAATATTGAATTGTAAACATAAATTGAAATCCTGTTGACAAATATGTTATAAAACTATTTAAGCAAGAATTGTTCGTATTGGAAAGCAATCTGTTAAAAGGTATTGTAAAGCAAATGCTATGAGATGCGCACTTAAGAACGTAATAAAGAGTTTTGGAATATATATTGTTGAAATGAAGGGTAAAAAAAATTTTGATAAGTATAATTAAAAGAATTATTCCCCTTACATTTTATAATAACTCAGTTACAAGTTTAAAAAAAAAAAAAAAAAAAAAAAAAAGCTTATTTTATTCCTTTTCAGAAATGTTCAGAGAACGTCAAGTACTATTTAAAGTATTTCGCTAATTCCTAATAATTCTCTAATTTAAAATGAACCGAATAGAACATTAATTATAAATTGACTTACATTTTTCAATTTAAAAGATGTCTCAGAAGCCAAAAAATCATGTCATATTTAAGAAAGTATTTTAGGAAGAAGCTCTATAAATAGAAAAGAAATAATGCATAATTTTAATATTAATAATACAATAAACTTTGATCTTAATTTTTGTACCTTAACCGAATAAAACCGAATTACCTTAATTTTTTTTTCTAATGTAATTAACGAAAACTTGTGAAAATATTTCATTCAAATTAAACCATTCTGAGAAAACTGTCCTGTGAAAAGTATAGCATTTAATTCCATTCAGAATGAAATGTTGTTTAAAAATATGTTGTTTTCATATACTTAGGACTCATATACTTAGGAGTATTGTAGAAAAAGAAAATACATACATTTATATGTATATTTACGACGTAATTACAAAGTATTTACATCCGAACGCGTCAAATCCCATTGAACTCAATGGTAAAAGACCCAATGTTTTGGTCACCACGTAGGGATCGCCGGTGCTTCAGAGCAAGGTACGGGAGAAACTTGCTTAGGGCTACTCCATCTTACTTCCTACTTCCATGCTTTTCTGCAATTTTTTTCAGAGGCAGACACGACTCCACCTGCCTCGCAATAACAAACTCTGACGTATTTCCTCTTCAGCATGAATCGATTTTTCTTGGCATTCTGCCAGATACAGACATCAAGTTCAACAAACGTCAGTTTGGGTACAAGTACTTGTTGGATAGTTTTTAAGTAAGAAGGGAGCAGAAAATTTTTGAAAATGTCACCTAAACGGCACAGAAGCTATACTGCTGGTTTTAAGCTTAATGTAATTTCACATGCTGAACAAATTGGAAATCAAGCAGCAGCTCAAGAGTTTGAAGTGGACGAGAGATGTATTCGACGTTGGAGAATTGAGAAAGAACTTCTTAAAAGTATGCCACAACAGAAACGAGCCAAAAGAAGTGGTACTGTAAGGTGGCTGAATCTAGAGGACGACCTTGCAAACTGGATAAAGGAGCGATGAGGAAAGGGAATGGCAATTTCGACTGTAAAAACTCACTTACAAGCAAAATTTAAAGCAAAACGAATGAACATAAATGATTTCAAAGGAGGTGTAGCAGATTTATAAAAATAAAAAATATTTCTGTGCGTATTAGAACAACAGTCAGGCATCAATTACCAATAAACTGGCAGGATAAAAAGGCATCTTTTCTAAAATATGTAAATATGTGACAGATATCATTGACAAAAAAAAAAAAATTCTTCAGTCACAAATAATAAATATAAATGAAACGCCGTTAGCTTTCGACTCTCCTGCAAACAGAACTGTTGATGAAACTGGTGCAAAAACTGTATCTGTGCTTACGACGGGGCATGAAAGAACGTCATTTACATGTGTGTTAGCTTGTGCCGCAAACGGTGACAAGCTAAAGCCAATGATCATTTTTAAACGAAAGACTATTCTGAAGGGAGATTTTCCCAATGACATAATTATTTGTGCAAATGAGAACGGCTGGATGTGCGAAACAATCATGCATGAGTGGCTACAAAAAGTTTGGCAGTGTCGTATGGGATCTTTTTTCTAACCAAAAGGGTTATTGATAATGGATTCCATGCATGCTCATTTACTTGAGTCAGTGAAAACCAAATGTCAAAAATTGTCTACGACCAAAGCAATAATTCCTGGTTGTTTGACAAAAATCTTACAACCGTTAGATTTGTCAGGTAATAAATCCTTCAAAGCTGAAGTCCGAAAGCGGTGGGAGTGTTGGATGAGTGAAGGATTACATACATATACCAAAAGCGGTAAAATGCATAGAGCATCTTATGAAGAAGTTGCAAAGTGGGTAGGAAGTGCGTGGAAATCGGTAAAAACATCATCAATAATAGCAGGGAGGATGAATGTGACGATCAGGATTTACAAAATCTTTTTAATTCAGATAGTGAAGAATCAGATTTTGATGGCTTCATATGATGTATAGTTTGCTGTAATTCCTTTTGTAAGTAAAATTTAAAATTTCCTTTTGTCATCCAAATTTAATATTTTGTTGTTGCAACATTTTTTATAATATAGTCTGAGTATTACAATATGGACTTCTTCAGTGGGTACATATAAGTATATACGTAAAGGTAAATATATTTTCCGCATTTCTTACCTTTAATTTATTTTTGATTTATGGTTTCATTTCATGCATTTTTCTTAACTGGTATGTCATATATCA